ATCCTCACTAAAGCACAAATCCGTTACACGGTCTGTATGACCTCTAAATTCACGAACCATCTTTAGTGCCACAACATCATATAAACGGATAACAAAATCATCCGCCACCGTAGCCAAAAGACCTACCAATTGATAAGAAATTAGCAAAAGTCAGAGACAATACGGTGGTATCCTAGGAGAAAATGACGGAAAATGATACATTTGCGAGACCGTACAAGTGAAAAAGTAGGGTTAGATTAGGAAAATTTACCATTTACACGGTGGTAGACAATTTTAACCAATGAACATCCGATATCCCACTGGGACTTTAATTCCCGCTTTTTGAAATCCCAAACCTTTATTACACAAATGAAATATTACAGTCTATTTTGAGTCATAAAGTAGAGTCAATGTTGAAGGTAGCCATATCAACTAAGCAATTGAAACTTTCCAAACCTTTATGTCCCCATGATATCCTGCACTGATCATGAGTGTGTTTGTGGAGTCGCAAGCAACTCCAATAACTTCCCCGTCATGGGCGTACCTTCTTTTTTCTGACATATCGAAGTAACTACCCCGGCTGATTCCAGATTGGAGGTTAAATCTCTCAATCCATCCACCAGCTGTTCCGACTACTGCAAAGTTTCCACAGGCACTGATTGCACATGCCTATCAGACAAGCAGTTTTTTAAGAGTTCAACAACCACTAGAGAGACGAAAAGACCAGTAGTGCTAAAAGAGGATTGTTCCTAGATACCAAGAACCCCTGAACATGCTAGAAGGAACTGTAACTAAACTCATTTTTTGTGGAATTGGTTATTCATGAGGAGCCAATAATCCGAATTCCAAGTTCTCACAGTAATCAATTTCCACCTATAAGGACTAAAGCACGTCTACTTTTCTTGTTCAGAAGAGTGTCAGAAGTAAGGATAGTCAATTTCAGTTTTGAACCTTAATTGGTGTTGGATTCTCAGGGCATGGTTTGAGGATATGCTCTCCAAGTACAAAGTTCTGAAGTCTCCATACATATGCTTCTGCTGTATCCATATGGCAAGTAACAACATTGCACCAATCACGCTCCCTAATTTCAGCTGCAATTAATGGAAAGAAAGTAATAACAGCATTAGGATGTATAACCAGAAAATAACATAAGTTGTGGGAGATACAATTTTCTCGTCATCAACATGCAAATTCAAAGGACAACATAAGGTAAGATCTAAGCTTCACTTCATAAAATGTACTTTCTCTATGGGGATCAACCAATAAACGTTTTCACTATTGAGAGCCAACCATTCTGGACCTAATTACAGCTAAACACATTTTGTGGAACTCAATTGGTTTCAACTTTTTAGTCTTGTTTGTTCAGACATCATGATATTAAGAATGTGATGGAAAGAAACCAAGCAACATAATTACATGACAAGTAAAGATCAAGTTAATAGATAAGTACCGCAATCAAATGAAACTACAGGCTTCAATTTCAGCTCTTCGTCCTACATAGAGAAGAAAAGGAATATAAGCGAAAAATATATATAATTTCCAATGCACAGGTGCACACATTACTACGAACACGGAAAATATCGAAACACAATATATATGAGGTATAACATTTGTTAAATTGAATCAGAACCACTTAAAGCATGCTAACTGGCCAGGGAAAACTTGAAGAAAAAGCAAAAGAACTCCTTTGGCTATACCTTCAGTCGGAGTTTCTTGGCTCGCCTGGATATGTGTCTTTGAGAAAGCTCTCTACTTTGTTGCTCCTGATGAAGTAATAAATGTAAAGTAAAGACTGTTATCGTCAATGGACATCAGATCTTTAGGAAGAATACAGACAACAAATTAAGAAACGATACTCAACATTTAAGATAACAATCAGATTCATGAAAAATCAAACAAACACGTTGGTGAAGAAATTCCCATCAAAAGAACTGCAAAATATGGCGAGTAAAAGACAAGAAAAGAAAAAACTAAATTTTTGCAAGTGAAATGGCACCTAACAACAAATACTAGCCGATTTTGTAAACTTTGCATCTGAACAGTACATGATGAGGAAAATGATTACTAATTAATTAATTAATATGACAATACTGAACTCGACAATCTTTTATGATCATCTGTTCAGCTAATGGATGCCCAAGGAGGACAAATTTCCTAACATTTGTTGTTGTAAAGTGACAAATAAATAGTCAATGTCTACAATATAGCTCAAAAGTTACAGACTACCAATATGTTCTGTTAGCTGTGCAATTTCATAATCCTAACATAGAATTGTTACTAAATCTGTGTCATATCTTACCTGGATGACAGAGAACAGGCGGAAGGCACGATCCTGGCCAGCAGACAAAATGTGCCGTCCATTAGAGTAGAACCTACCACAAGTGGAAGTCACATATGAATATGAGACCCTTTATTGGTAATTTGGCATGCCCTTCATAGAGCCACCATAAAGAAAATACTCTTACTAAGAAACACAAATATTCATCATTATACAGATAGTCAACTGGCAGAAATTCATCAGTGGAAGTTTTAGATTATCATTAGGATGACCAATATTAGTCACTTCAACAACGAATAGGGATCATAAATGCTACTTACACACCAAAAAGCCAAATGGAAGCAATCAGATAATTTAGTAAGATGTGGACGCCCAAGCTAATTACCTGATACACAGAGGAGGAGCACTATGCCCAGATCGGAAGCGTAATAGGCGAGGATCACCATCATTTGTGTCAAAAATCCACATCTACAGGTACGAGGCATAAAACAAAAATTATATGTGGCATAGTGGATGCAGATAAGTTCAACAGGTAAGAGAAATCTCAGCTTACTTTGAGTGAGTTATCTGCTGATGCACTCATTAGCACCGGCTCATTTGCTAAAAAGTTCAATGAGATTATAGAACTGTCATGTGCATCCCTAATGACTGACTGAAGCCTTTTTTTGTTAAGATTCCAGATGCTTATGACACCAAAGGAACCTCCAGACGCAAGAAGGGGACGTCCATCTAACATGAAAGGATACACATGTTAGCACTGGAAAGTATCTAACTCTCATGAGCTATAGAAGAGGGTACTACCAAAAGCTACTAGTTAAATTACAACCTACACTCAAGGATCTTTTGAGCTTGAAACATGTATGTACAATTCTAGTTCATGAAACATTGAGTGCATAGATGGTAAAGCTATCTAATGGAAAAATAAATATACACACCACTTAAACAAAAAAGGGAAGACAATTTGTTGGTCGCTACACTCGTAGGATATCAGTAAGAAAAGATTAAGTCAAAGATTTTACAAAAGGAACTACAGGAATTGGGTGTTACCTGTACTGAAAGACAAAGCAGTAACAGCACCTCGCGAGGCATGTTCAAATGTTACGATCTCTTCGTCCAATTTTATGTTATGCACGTGGATCTTTCCATCAGCACAACCAATGGCAACAACATCCAGAGCAGGGGATGAAACACAACTGGAGACAGATGAACCCCAACCCTTAAACTCATAGATCATCTTCTTTGTATTAATGTTCCATAGCTGAAGCGGACCCTCTTGGCTCCCTACAAGAACCTATCAAAGTGGTGCCAAGTAAGAGAAATTTGCAAGGAATTATAAAAGCTTGTCAAACAGAAATCATGAACTTAACTAGGTCTCACCTTGTTGAGATAAGTATCTGGGTGAACAATAGAGCTAGGGGTAAACTTTCCAGTAAGCTGAAGATTTCCGATTGGAGATAGATGTTCTTCGATTCCTTTGAATGCCCATATGAACATATTTCCCTCAACGTCAAGACTTAGCACATGTTCTCCAAACAACAGTAGCAGGTCAACTTTAGCAACATGTTTGCTCCAAGTTGCTACCTGATAGATATCCACAAGAATCCCAACTATAAAGAAAGTACTCATAGATATAAAAAGCAGCAACTTAACAATAATTACAATGAGAGATACCTGATGAGCACGCTTAAAGACAGCGATTTCATTGCCAAAAGCAGCAAATGTGTAGTCGCGGTAAGAAGCTAAAGCTCTGATTTTCTTTGGGAGTTGAGGACCTTAAGATAACAAAAATTAGATTATAAGAAAATCAAGCTTAATGAAACACTAAAAATTTACACTGTATAGACAAAACCCAATTCTAAATGCATAGATTTGAGTGAGAGAATGTTTCAAAAGACAAAACTTTAGGTTTCAGACTTACTGATTATGACTAGATTGAGCTTGGCACACTGCAACAAGAGAACCAAATTAATCAAGGAATCGAATGAATAAAGAACACGCAAGTGAAACTATGAAGATTGGGGTGTTACATTATAAATCTGAAAAGCTTTGCCGACGCTGACGGTGACGAAGGTCTCGGTTCCTAATCGCTGGACGGAGAACGGAACCGTACTCGTGATGTAACCTATTGCTCTAAACGGTTCGAAAATTCCCATCTTCGAACAAGAAATTAGGGTTTCTCGGGGAAACAATTTAGGATTTTTATCAAGCAAAGAATTGTTTTAAGAGCTTGAGAGAGAAAACGCGGCGCAGGAGCGATGGAGGAGATGCAAACAAACAAGTCACAGAGAGGGTTTAGGGTTTAACGATGTCCGAAATTTTAATTTTATTTTCAAGAAGGCATGCGTACACATTTGGTTTTCCGGTTAAGTACCCGTTCGGTTTATAGGTTATTTTTTGGTTCGGAGATTGTTCAATTTGGTTTTGTGTAATTATGGTTCGGTTTTGGAGAAAAGTCATTGAAATATAAACAAAATTAATTTTCAATTTTATAAATTTTGATTTTAATTCTGCTTAGATGTTTTAGTTGATTCGATCGCAGTTTGGTCTAAACAAATGATTTCCATTTGGTTTGATTTTGAGAAATTCGGTTTGATCACATAATGGAGTCCAATACCAGCCGTCGGTTTGACCACTCTCTACACAGAGAGATTGGAGTTAATCCTAGCCGTCGGATCCATCTTTCTTTGTTTTAAAACCGAGGATTTAAACAAGGTCTTGTAATTTTTGTTTCTTAATGAGTCTAAAAGCAAATGTGTTCAAGATAACCCATAAATAAAGATTATGTTGATGATACAAGGGAGAAAAATAGTCATGAATCTAATAGATTCAGCCATAGAAATAACAAGACAAAGCTTGAGTAGCAACAATCTCAATGTTTGTAACACTAATGTTCTCTCTCACCAAGGCAAAACCGCAGAGAGACTATATTACTTACTCAGATAGAGTTGCTTTGAGATCACCACTCTCACTTAGCTCCATAATGATATCACATCCTCCAATTAACTCACCTTTGTAGTAAAGCTGAGGAAACGTTGGCCAGTTTGAGAAATTCTTAATCCCTTGCCTTACTTCTTCATCGGTCAAGATATCAAACGATCCGAAATTCACGTTTTCTCCTCTCAGTGCTTTCACAACTTTGGAGCTAAATCCACATTTCGGTTCATCTGGTGAACCTTTCATGAAAAGCATTACTTCCGAGGAGTTGATCAACGCCTTCAATCTATCTTCAAGACTCTGTTTTCCTGTGATTCCTTTCTCAGACAAAACCTTTTTCAGCTCACCGCTCTTTTGCATCTCCAAGACAATGTCTGATCCACCCATAAGCTCGCCTTTGACATAAAGCTGAGGATAGCTCGACCAGTTTGAATACACTTTAAGCCCTTGACGAACTTCATCATCTAAGAGTATATCGAAACTCCCAAACTCGATTTTTTCTTGGTTGAGAATTTCAACCACTTTCCCACTAAACCCACACTTTGGTTCTTCCGGTTTTCCTTTCATGAACAGCATAACTGGTTTCGAATTGACCAGACCTTCAAGCCGAGCTCGGAGGGTCTCGCTTAAGCCAGTGTTGCCTGAACTTACCCCTCCTCCTTTTCCAGCTTCATCCTGACTTTCTTTTGAACCAATTGTATTGATCCCAAGATCTTTGAAAGCATCTTTTAGTTCACCGCTCTCGTGCATCGCTATTGCGATATCAGCTCCACCAAGAAGCTCTCCGTTGCAGTACAGCTGAGGAAACGTTGGCCAGTTAGAGAATTTCTTCAAACCCTCTCGCACTTCGTTGTCCGATAGTATGTCAAAACTTCCAAAATCAACCTTCTCTTCTTTCAAAATGTCAACTACTTTCCTGCTAAACCCACACCTAGGCTCATCAGGAGTACCTTTCATGAATAACATGACAGGCTGAGAATTAGTGAGTTTTTCGAAACGGCTCTTGAGACCATCAGCGGTAGATACAGGAGCTCGGTCTTGTACAGAAGCTTTGGCATTCTCTTTCACAGTTTCAAGAATCGTTGGCCCTGCAGCCAACCCTAAGCTTGCAGGAGCAGCAGGCTCTGCAGAGGTACTAGAACCAGCAACTTTGCCTACCTTATTAGCTAAACTTGATGGATCTGCACCCTCAAGTGTATCCACAGTTTTGCCATCCTTCAATAAGAAAACGAATTCGCAGTCAGAAGAAAGTAACAACTTTCAGAATAATCATTACAGTGCAGTGACAAAGATTCAACCTTTGAACACACTCTCAATGCTATAAAGACAGAAAATTGCAACCAAACAAAGCAAAACAAAGAATCAATAAGTCTGATTTCATCAAGGAGTAGTAATCTAACAGAGACACAAAGTAATCAAAACCAAATCCCTAAATCCTAAACTTTGATCAAAACATAGGGAACAAAAAAAATCATAACTTTACCTTGAAGAAGACGAAATAAGGCACAGCAGCAACAGAGTAAGCCTCAGATATCTCCGGATGTTCCTCAGCTTCTACCTAAGAAGATAAAACCAATAACAATCAAAAACCAATTGAAAGAGATAAAATTCGAATTGGTCAAGAGAACAGAGACGAACCCTAAAGAAGTGAGCACGAGGGAAATCAGTAGCGAGATGAGAGAAAACTTGATCCATCTGCTTCGAAGCGTCACACCAAGAAGCCCAGAAGTGAAGCACGATTGGTGCGCCGCTCTGGCGCAAGTTATCAAGCTCTGCCTTTGAAACGATATCCTTCACCGTACCAGTCATCTTCGAAGAGGAGGATCTGTAACACTTTTTCTTTTCTTTTTGTTGTGATTACCAATTTATTTTTCGAGCAGAATTCTTTCTGTTGCTGGAGAAGCAAAAGATTCTTTCTGGTTGCTAGAGAAGCAAAAGAAATTTATGTAAAAAGAAAAAGAAATAAAGGACCTAACGAAATAATTAGGGTTTTTGTGTGCGGAATGTGATGCTAAAATTACTCACTTATTAAATTTTTATTGTAAAGTTTATTAAAAAAATTAGTAAAATTATAGTATATCAGCGGAGAAAATTAAACTTTTGGAAATTAAGTCCGCTAAAAATGAATTCTTGCAAAAAAAGAAAATAATTTTGAAAAATATTAGAAAAACAAATCAACCCTACTAAACCTAAGTTTGACTAATTAAATCTTAATCCTATTCATTAATTTTCTTTAAATTAATACTAATTATAGGAATTGTATAGATCAATCCTTCTCGAATTGGATTTTCATAAAACATGTAGTTAAAGTTTAACCGAAGTACCGAACAATAAACAAAAAAATAACCAATAGAATACAAATATATACGAATTTGACAAAGAAAAAGGAGCATAGTAATTATCTAAAACCAATACAAAAATATATAGAGATTATCACTAACAAGAAAAAAAAAAGATTTAGGGGATGTTATTGGTTTGTGATTTAAATAGAGTTTTAATGACTTTAATTGTTGTGTAGAATCTGTTGTTATTCAATCAAGATTTTGTTAAACTCTCTTAAAATTTGGTGTTATTAGTTTGTGATTTGTAAAAAGTCATTTAAAATCTTAATGAATATTGTGTTATTGGATTAAGAGTTTTATAAAGTCATTAAAAGTTTTGTGTTATTCAACTAAAACAAAACAATCTATGACAATCTATGATTGTTAATGAATTCAATTATTGTGTTATTGGTTTATGATTTTAAACACTTTTCTTTACAAAATAAAGTCATGGAAAGTATGCTGAAATATTGAGATTGTTTGGGAGACTCTACAAGATTATAGAAAAACTAATCAACAAGACTATAGAAAACTCTCTAACAATTCTTCTAAATCATTCACTTATTCACTTTCTATGATTTTATTAAAGTCATCAAAACTCTATTTAAATCACAAACCAATAACACCCCTTAATAGAGAAAGGTCTTGACAATCAGAATCCTATATAAGTAATTAAGACTCTAAAACTCCTCTCTACCGCTTAACTTTTTCTTCTTGTCTCTCTATTTTTGATAACAATGGAGGGAGGTGATAATCAACTCAAGCGTTTGCAGAGAGAGAAGAGATCATTAGATATTTTGTCTGTAGATATATACAGACAAAATGAAAAAACTTTAACTACATGTTTTTTTCATTAGATATATATATATATATGCTTATATTTATATACATAACTTATCTATAAGTATATTCATAAAGAATTACATGCACTATATATTTGTTTGGAAATATATTTATATAATTTTAATAAAAAAAACTAAGAAGTCATTGATCAATATAGTCAGATTACTTCGATCCGGAGACCTAGAAAATAGTCCGATTTGATTTCCGAATTGTGTTTAAGAAATATTTTAAAGATAAAAATATAAGGTAAAAATATAGAGTTTCATGTAAAATCATCAAAGATAAAGCATTAGCCTTTTGGCCAGTAAGAGGTTAAAGAAGAAAGGAAGAGATATTTACGTTAATCATGTTTATGATAAAGCATTTAATGATGAAAAAATGTTATGTATAAATTTTGTACATATATAATGATAAATCATTTATCAATTTTTTTCTCTAAAATAAATCATTTATCAATTACATCATGTTATTAACAAAGAAAACTACAACTTTATAAAAAAACTGAAGCAAAAAAGTTCAGATTCAATTTCATTAGTAAGAATTTACGAATGAGAAAAAACATATTTTCACCTCCTAAAATCACAATTTCACGAATTGAAGGCAATTAGGTCATTTAACAGACCTTGGAGAGAAAGAGAGTTTCGCACGTGCGATTAACATGATCGCACTCTCTCACTTCATTAAATGCAAACAAACTCGACTCTCTACACTACAAGAAGAAGAAGAAGAAACCATCTTGTATTTTAACAAACCATCTTGCATTTTTTCTGGCAAAATGAACCGGATCTCTACCATGATCTTCTTCCCAAATGCAGCAATGTTCTTCAACATTTGATGTTTATCGAATACACCCATGTCTTTCAAAATCCAAAAAAAAAAAAAAAAAAAAAGTAGAGAGACGAGTGTGAGCGAGTGCTGATGAGTGTGTAGCTGAGTTTGTGTGGGAGAGAGAAAAATACAGTATATAATCCGACGGAATGATGTTCATCGAATACACCCATGTCTTTCAAAATCCAAAAGAAACAAAAAAAAAGCAGAGAGACGAGTGTGAGCGAGTGCTGATGAGTGTGTGGCTGAGTCTGTGTGGGAGAGAGAAATATACAGTATATAATCCGACGGAAAATAAAAATTATGCATTTAATGTGCAAACTCTCTTCCCCTCCAAGGCCAAATAAATGACATAATTGCCCTCGCGCTTTTAGTTGTAAATGATCCCCTGCAACTAGCACACCCAATGAATACTTCAGATCAATGCCACGTATGTTTTCTGAAACCTTCAATGTTTTTCAACGGTTCAACACATACTAATATATAGAACTGCCAGTACTGAATCATTTCTGTGTGGTATTTGCTATACACGCTTAAGAACATCTCCAACCCCACTCTGTTTTTCCTCTAAATTCTAGTATAGAGCAAAATTCTCTCCAACCCTACTCTATATTCTACTCTAAAATAGAGTAAAAGTGAAGATTGCTCTATATATAGAGCAACTCTATAATTTTCCTCTATTTTTTACACTACCTCTATTTTAGAACAAGGAATAGAGTAACACATTGGAGAAAATTCTACTCTATTATAGAGTTACTCTATTTTAGAGCAAAAATATAGAGCTTTACATTGGAGATGGTATTAGGCTATAGTGTGGGTCCAAAATCAAAAACAATATCCCTTTGTAATTTTTGTTTAAACTAATAATTAAAAAAAACGTCCAAATATATTATACTAGCCTTAAATGTTGTCCTTATGGTGCAATTTCTTTTAGTGGTTTATGTTTCGAATCTTAGCTAGAGAATTCTTTTAAGATTCAAATTAGATGTTTTACTATTGATTAAGTTTATAATGCTACTACTTTGACATTATATCGCATAAACGAATATTGCTACTACTTTGATATCATGTAAAGATTCATGTGCTTCAAATCAAAACCAATGTGTGGATTGATTAGTGTCTCTCTTCTTCTTTTTTTGACAACTTTGAATTATGATTTTGTGTCCAATTACTCTGTAACAAAAACTAAAATAATTGTGTACATTACTATGTATATTATATAGTATATCGCAAATCTTGATATATGGTGGCTAGGGATATATCAAGTTTAATAATAAGTGATTATATTTGGATTTGGTTTCTCTCTCAATATAATCTACTAATGTCTTTAGTTTTTTTTTTTTTTTTTTTTTGTCTTCATGCATGCCTCTAATGCTTAAAGTTTCATACTTTCACGGATCTCATGATGATGAATGCCAAAATCAAAAACATTATTCTTAGAAAAAAATAAAATAAAAGATAAACTATAAACTATTTAAATCTATAACATAATTTCACCTCCTAACATTGTTTTTTTTTCGTGTTTAGATTAAGCTGTAGTTTTCTTTGTTAATAACATGATAGACTTGATAAATTATTCTTTTTTAACAAAACAATTTGATTGGTTATAAAACATTACAGTATACAGTTGGTAAATTAATAACTGTATACTGTAAATTAACTGTAACATGGGTTGAATATCTTCACATTTTATGGTTTTCGGATTAGATTTGGCCAAATTCAAAGTTAAATATTAATATGATGATTTAACGAGAAATTTGTGATTTTAGTTGAGAGTTTATCAAAATTTGGGTTAATGTGCCCATTTTGCTTCTGCTCTCAATCAATTACTCCGAAATTTTAGATTAAGAGAAAAAGAACTACTACATTAAAGAGCAAAACACGGATTAAGTGATGGAAGATGTATAAATTTTATACTATTGACCAATATTTCACATGACTCGTCTTCGGTTTCCTCATTGTTGGATTGGTTACTGCTCCGAGATGGAGTTCTACTTCGTGAAAGCCTGTCAAATCCAATGCTTGATGATTATTCATGTGATCATATTGGATGAGGCTTATGAAAAGAAATTTAAACACGTAAGACCTTTTCTACAATCAGATTTGATATCTGTTTGCTCATTGTTTTGTATGGAATTAAGATACTATTCAAACATGCACAAAGGCTCTAGAATATATAACTTAAATTATTCCTTTGTTAAAATCCGCGGGTTCCAACTTTAAAGTTATTATTGTAAAGAAGAAGAGCAGATTAAGGACTAATGTGTAATTAGTTATAAGTTAATCCCTAAGGTTGTACCTATATATATTGTAAATCATTCTACTAATGAAATTAATTCAGCCTACTTTGATATGGTATCAGAGCAGAAAGATCTAAAGACCTAAATTTTTTATTGTTTCTCTCGTGGCCGCCTCCTCTTCATCTCTTCTCTTCTCTTGTTCTCCGAAACAATCTTCTTTCCTCTCGATCTTCTCTTTACCGGCCATGTCTGCTTCCTCCAAGATTGTTGCCACTCCTAATGCAACCTCGCTTCTCAACATTAACATGACCAACGTCACAAAGCTGACGACTACGAATTTCTTGATGTGGAAGCGTCAAGTGTTCGCTATATTCGATGGCTATGACTTAGCCGGATATCTTGACGGTTCTACTGTTGCTCCTGATGCCGTCATCACCACTGTCGGAATTGCCTCTGCTAATCCGGCCTACAAACATTGGAAGAGGCAAGATCAACTCAATTATGCGGCTCTCATTGGTGCGATCTCAGCCTCTGTCCAACCGCTTCTCTCTAAAGCAACCACCACGGCTGCGATCTGGCGCACCCTCCACGACACATACGCCAATCCAAGCCGCAGCCACATCAAGGTGTTACGCGGCCAACTCGAAAACTGGAGAAAAGGTACTAAATCGATTGAAGTGTATTTCCAAGGGCTTACCATAAGCTTTGATGAATTAGCTTTGCTTGAGAGTCTGATTCCTCATGAGGATCAAATCGACTACATCCTTGGAGGTCTTCCTGAGGATTACAAGCAAGTTTGTGATTAGATAGAAGGTCGTGAGAGACCACTGTTGCTGACAGAGATTCACGAAAAGTTGATCAACCAGGAGCTTAAGATTCAAACTCAACTCATGGCCTCATCCTCTGTTCCAATCACCGCGAATGCTGCTTCATACAAGAACAACAATGCCAACAATGGTAATCGCAATCAAAACCGTTCACGTGAAAATCAACCGTGGCAGCAACAAAACAACTTCTCACCACGTGATGATTCTCGTGGATCACAAGGCAGGGAATATCAAGGTAAATGCCAAATTTGTGGTGTTTACGGTTACAGTGCACGACGATGCTCGCAGCTCCAAGCATCGGGTAGTGGGTATCCATCCTCCGGTGGTGGCTATCCCTCGTCACCGCACCATGGCAGCCACGCGCAAACGTAGCTACTGCGCAAACATACAACAACCCATGGGTCTTTGATACCGACGCCACTCATCACTTGACGTCGAATCTTGCGAATTTATCTCTCCACCAGCCCTACAATGGAGGAGAAGAGGTCACCATTGCAGATGGCTCTGGCCTCCCGATTACACATACCGGTTCTGGTTTACTCCCTACCCCAACTCACTCTCTTGCACTTCAAGATATTTTATATGTTCCTGATATCCATAAAAATCTTATTTCGGTTTATCGGTTGTGCAATACTAATGGTGTCTCTGTGTGATGCAGCGCATCTCTTACTCCTTTTGGGCCGCACAGCTCCGTTGCTTGGGCCTCACGTTTTGGTGTTTTCAAAGTATCGAGTCGGTTTGTGTTTTGTTATCTTATCAAGATTTAGCTAACTCCAAATCTTTGTTAAGATTAGTTTTCAGAGTTTTATTAGGATTTGACGTTATCGTTTAAGTTGTATAAATAACGTCTTAGGTGAGTCTTTGTTCTGGAGTTTTTACATTGAGATTAATAAGAATATCGTTTGGTTTTAAAGAGCTTTGATTCCAAGGCTCTGCAAGGAGGACTTGCACAAACTGTTGATTTCGTTTCTCTGAACGATCTCAGCTTTATTTCTCACTTCCCGTTCCTTTTACCACCACCGTCTCTGTTCTTTCTTCTTCCTCTGTTTTATTTCCCCAAAACAGAGTCTCTCTTCTTCTTCGCGTAGCTTCCGCCCGTATCAGTTGGTATCAGATTCTTGCCTTTCCTGGATTAGAGTTTGTATCACCGATGGCTCCACCTAATGAAATCGCCGGCGAACAGAAACCAGACCCGACCATTAATTGGATCGAGTTCCGTGACACTCTCCTCGCCTCTCAAGCAGCAATGCAAAATTCAATTCGTGAATTGAGTCAGACTTTGATCCAACATCTTGGTGCTGCAAATCCCCGACCCGTAGCAGTGGCCGCAGCGCATCGTCGTCAACAGGCTCCGCCGCCAGCAGCCGACGATAATCAACAACACCACCAACAGCTCAACCCATTAGCCATTGCCAATCCATATCAACAGGAGGTTTTGCCGTTCAGACCACACGACCATCGCCAGCAAGACACACGATGGGAAGCCGGCTTTAAGGTAGAAATTCCAGAATTCCATGGTGGAATTAAAGGAGATTCCCTCATCGATTGGCTCGTGACAGTAGAAGAAACATTGGACTATAAACGAGTCCCTGATGATCGCCGAATTCCCTTAGTAGCTACTCGTTTCCGTGGTCAAGCCGCATCATGGTGGCAGCAGCTCAAAACATCACGGGCGCGTTCTGGCAAGGATCCGATTCGCTCTTGGGAACAATTGAAGAAAAAGCTAAAAGCAACATTTCTTCCTCACAATTATGACAGAACCATGTACACGCGTCTCCAAAATCTCAAGCAAGGATCACGCTCAGTTGACGAGTATGCAGAGGAGTTCTACCTGCTCTTAACCCGCAACGAACTCTATGACAGTCAAGTACAACTGGTCTCAAGGTTCATCGGAGGATTGCGTGCTCAAATTCAGAATTCTATGTCTCAATTTGACCCAGCAACAGTAGCTGAAGCTCATCAACGAGCTTCCTCATTTGAACATCAGTTCCGTGTCTCACCTTGGAATCAGAGTTCCACATGGTCTCGCAACCCAGAACAGTCCAACCTACAAACCACGCAGCCAGCACGAGACAGTCCCGAGACTTCTACGACAACACAGCGAGGAACAAATCAAGACGGCGAACAAGGACTGCGTCGTTCTGCTCGTGGTACCAGCTCATTACGGTGCTACGCTTGTGGAGAAAATGGTCACCGCCAAACCGCGTGCCCCAACCAAAAACAGCGGGGTTTACTAGTAGATGAGGTGCAGGAAGACGATGCAACGGATGACGAATTAGGAGATGATGAGGAGTCCCAAAACTCAGAGATCCGCAAAACTCCGGGTGATACGGGTCGTACTTTAGTGAGTTACACCACGTGTTTAACACCGGAGCAAAGGGAAAAGCATTGGCTGCGCACCAACATATTTCGCTCCACTTGCACCATCAAAGACCGCATTTGCACGTTTGTCATCGACTCGGGAAGCAGCCATAATCTCATCTCAGAATCAGCGGTACTTAAGTTGGGACTGGAAATTGAAAAACACCCCTCTCCTTATGCGCTCACATGGTTTCAAGATGGAGTAGCAGTACGGGTCTCACATAGATCCTATGTCCCTTTCTCAGTGGGAGCATTCTACAAGGACAGAATGTACTTTGACTTAGCCCCATTGGATGTTTGTCACCTTATCTTTGGACGACCATGGGAGTATGACCGCAAAATTATGCACGACGGGGTGAAAAACACATATCAGTTCATTTGGGAGACACACCAAATTTTGCTCTTACCGTCGCCGGACTGGCCGCTACTACCGCCGTCAGCTACCAAACCACCTCCGCAACACAAGACTTCTACGCTTTGCTCACAAGCAGTGTTTGAAAAGGAGTTTAAAATGGAAGGATTCGCTCTTGCCCTGCTCACACCGGCTTCACCAACGGCATCGCAAGTAATTTCACCGGAGTGGAGTTCAATAGTTAATGAATTTGCGGACATTTTTCCCGAGGAGCTCCCACAAAGTTTACCACCGCTGCGAGACATTCAACACCACATTGACCTCACCCCTGGAGCAACACTTCCTAATCGCCCACACTATCGCATGAGCCCGCAAGAACATGAGGAACTACGTAGGCAAGTCGAAGATCTCTTGCGAAAAGGCCATATTCGCGAAAGCTTAAGTCCATGTGCGGTACCAGCCCTCCTTATTCCAAAAAAAGATGGCACTTGGCGGATGTGTGTCGATAGTCGCGCTATCAACAAGATCACTGTACGGTACCGATTTCCTATCCCGAGACTAGATGATCTACTTGACCAGATTGGCAAAGCAACTTTGTTTACCAAGCTTGACCTCAAGAGCGGCTACCATCAAATTCGTATACGTCCTGGAGACGAGTGGAAGACGGCGTTCAAAACCCGGGAAGGGCTATTCGAATGGTTAGTAATGCCGTTTGGCCTATCCAATGCTCCGAGCACATTTATGCGGGTGATGAATCAAGCACTCCGTCCGTTTATCGGTAAATTTGTGGTTATCTATTTTGATGACATCCTTATCTTCAGCTCCTCGTTAGACGACCACATTTCTCATCTCCGAAAAGTTCTCACCATCCTACGAGAAGAACAATTGTTCGCTGCCCGCCAAAAGTGTGTGTTTGGATCTACGGAGGTGCAGTTTCTGGGATACATAGTTTCCGATAAGGGACTGTCAGTTGACAATGCCAAAATAGAAGCCATACGCTCATGGCCACTACCACGCACTGTCACGGAAGTTCGCAGCTTCCACGGCCTGGCCTCTTTTTATCGGCGGTTTGTACATCACTATAGCAGTATCATGGCACCAATCACAAGTTGCATGACCAAGGGTAAATTTGAGTGGACACCGGAGGCTACTACAGCGTTTGATCTGATCAAAACAAAGCTTACCACAGCACCCATTCTCGTGTTACCAGACTTCTCGGTCATGTTTGAACTACATTGTGACGCTTCCAAGTTAGGCATTGGTGCGGTGCTTAGTCAACAAGGCCGTCCGGTCGCCTATTACAGTGAAAAATTAAGCGGTGCACGCGGACGTTATAGCACGTACGACGTCGAATTCTATGCGATAGTACAAGCCATCAAGCACTGGCGTCATTACTTGGTCCATCGCGACTTTGTCCTTTTCACGGACCATGATGCCTTACGTCACCTTGATAGACAAGCCAAAGTTTCCACAAGACATGCTTCCTGGATCGCTTATCTCCAGCAGTTCACGTTTTCGATTAAACACAAGGCGGGAACGCTTAACCGGGTTGCCAATGCCCTGAGCCGCCGCCATACATTGTTAGCCTCGACATACACGATGGTCCCTAGTTTCGCGTCCTTTGCTGACTTATATGAGTCGGATGTCTACTTTGCAAAAGTTTTCAAGGACACAGATTAAGGTCTTCTCCCCGATTTCTCCATTCAAGACGGCTTTCTATTCAAGGGACTACGTCTTTGTGTGCCGTCTTGCAGTTTACGGTTACAATTTATTAGAGAGCTTCACAATGAAGGCCATGTAGGGCGAGACCGCACGTTACAACTTCTCACTGCCTCCTATTTTTGGCCCTCTTTGCGCAGGGATGTGGAAAGATTCGTGGAACGTTGTCGCGTTTGTCAACAAGCTAAAGGAAAGGCGTCCAATGCGGGTCTTTATCTTCCCTTACCAGTACCTACACAACCATGGACTGACTTGAGCATGGATTTCGTCTTAGGCCTGCCCCGCACTCAACGTGGGCATGACTCCATTTTTGTGGTCGTCGATCGTTTTTCGAAGATGGCACACTTTATCCCTTGCAAGAAAACTACCGATGCTGTGAGTGTCGCTACTCTTTTTTTCCGAGAAATCTACCGATTACATGGACTGCCGCTATCCATCGTCTCCGATCGAGACACCCGGTTCTTAAGTCACTTTTGGAGGTCTCTTTGGAAGTTACTTCGCACCAGTTTAGATATGAGTTCCGCCTACCACCCGCAAAGTGATGGACAGACCGAAGTCACGAATCGAGCTCTTGGTGATTTATTACGATGCTTGGTAGGTGACAACATCAAGAGCTGGGATTTAAAGCTTTGTCAAGCGGAATTTGCCCACAATCACGCATCTAATCGTAGCTCCGGCTTCTCACCATTTCGTGTCGTCTATGGATTGATTCCTCGCTGTCCTCTTGACTTAACAACACTACCGGACAAGACACGTCTCCATGGCCAAGCAGTTGATTTTGTGGAGAATTTACAAGACATTCATCGACAAGCCAAGCTAAATTTAGAAGCCGCAACGTTAAAGTACAAGACAGCAGCTGATTCTAAACGCCGAGAACTGATCTTTGAACCAGGTGATTTGGTTTGGGTAGTCTTGACCAAGGATCGTTTACCACTGCGGGAATACAATAAGCTGAAATCTCGCAAGATTGGACCTGTTGAAGTTGTGGAACGCATTAATGCTAATGCCTATCGTCTCCGTCTTCCCTCCCATATGCGGACTTCTGATGTTTTCAATGTAAAGCATTTATCGTTGTTTCGTGGAGACAACGAGGATGTGGATTCGGGGTCGAATCCTCTCTCACCCGGGGGGACCTGATGCAGCGCATCTCTTACTCCTTTTGGGCCGCACAGCTCCGTTGCTTGGGCCTCACGTTTTGGTGTTTTCAAAGTATCGAGTCGGTTTGTGTTTTGTTATCTTATCAAGATTTAGCTAACTCCAAATCTTTGTTAAGATTAGTTTTCAGAGTTTTATTAGGATTTGACGTTATCGTTTAAGTTGTATAAATAACGTCTTAGGTGAGTCTTTGTTCTGGAGTTTTTACATTGAGATTAATAAGAATATCGTTTGGTTTTAAAGAGCTTTGATTCCAAGGCTCTGCAAGGAGGACTTGCACAAACTGTTGATTTCGTTTCTCTGAACGATCTCAGCTTTATTTCTCACTTCCCGTTCCTTTTACCACCACCGTCTCTGTTCTTTCTTCTTCCTCTGTTTTATTTCCCCAAAACAGAGTCTCTCTTCTTCTTCGCGTAGCTTCCGCCCGTATCACTGTGGAATTCTTTCCCGCACATTTTCAGGTGAAGGATCTCAACACAGTTCCGTCACCATCGTCACAGCAACCTTCGTCGCCAACGCTACCGGCCTCGCCACAGTCATCCACGTCGCCTCCTATGTCTGATCAAAATGCAACAGATCAGGTATCCTCAAACTCTAACCCAAATACAAGCCCAGAAAAATATAGCCCAGAAATATCCAACCCAACAAAAACAAACCCAGAAAATTCAGGCCCAGAAATACCAAGCCCAGAAAAATCAGGCCCAACTCCCTTATCATCACCTTCATCGTCCCAACCTGCAAACACGACAACGTCTCCCTCCTCCTCTCAAACGGAAACCACGAACACCTCCACTACCAAATCTCCATCACCAATCATACCCGAACCACCACCACCTCCACAAAACATACATCACATGAGAACGAGAGCTAAAAACCAAATCATTAAACCAAAGAACAAAATGAGTCTCATAGCCACCAAAACCCCATCCATTCCGACGACTGTGGCGCAGGCAATGAAGGATCCTAATTGGCGAAATACTATGTTGGAAAAAATCAATGCATAAATGAAAAATCAAACATGGGACTTAGTACCGTCAATGCCGACACAAAATCTAATCACATGTAAGTGGATTTTTACTCTTAAATATCGTCCTGACGGGTCCATTGAACGGTACAAGGCAAGACTTGTGGCTCGAGGTTTTAATCAACAGTACGAAATTGATTACTCGGAGACGTTCAGTCCGGTTATCAAGTCTACAACAATAAGACTTGTTCTAGAGGTCGCGGTAAAAAAGAATTGGCATATACATCAAGTTGATATCAACAACTCTTTTCTTCAAGGCACACTTCAAGAGGTAGTCTATGTCTCACAGCCACCGGGGTTTATTGATCGTGATCGTCCTACTCATGTGTGTCGTTTGAACAAAGCACTATACGGTCTCAAACAGGCACCTCGAGCATGGTATCAGGAACTCCGCAATTTTCTACTCGCAGCCGGATTCACAAACTCATTATATGACACCTCGCTATTTATATACAAGCGTGGCAATGCATTTTTGTATGTATTGGCGTATGTCGATGATATCATCATAGCGGGAGATGACTTGTTGGTTTGGAATTTTAATGTTTCTCTTGCAGATCGGTTCTCCCTCAAAGATCTAGGTCCACTGAGCTATTTCTTGGGTATAGAGGCCACACGTACGAGACAAGGGCTACACTTGATGCAAAAGAAGTATATCACAGATCTTCTTGCTAAGACGCATATGCTGGATGCAAAACCAATCTCAACTCCCATGGCTACAACCCCGAAACTATCGCTACACTCCGGTACGGTTCTCGACGATTCCAAAGAATATCACATGATCATTGGCAGTCTTCAATATTTGTCATTCACGCGGCCTGACATTGCCTTTGCGGTCAATCGTCTCTCACAATTCATGCACAAACCAACGGATGAGCATTGGCAAGCGGCTAAACGGGTCTTAAGATATCTTGCGGGAATGAAATCACACGATATTTTTCTAAGATCCGATGCGCATCTTACGGTTCATTCTTTTTCGGATGCGGATTGGGCTAATGATCTTGGAGACTCGTTATCCACAAATGCATATATCGCTTACTTTGGTGGTAGTCCAATATCTTGGTCATCAAAGAAACAAAGAAGTGTTTCACGCTCCTCAACGGAAGCAGAGTACCGTGCCGTAGCCAATACAGCCTCCGAACTCCAATGGATATGTTCTCTTCTTTCGGAAATGGGTATATCCTTACCATCGGCACCGGTGGTTTACTGTGATAACATGGGAGCTACTTATCTTTGTGCAAATCCAGTTTTCCATTCGCGTATGAAACACGTAGCTCTCGACTACCATTTTGTTCGCGGCAACATTCAGTCCTATGCCCTTCGTGTTGCTCATGTTTCAACAAAGGATCAATTAGCCGACGCACTCACTAAACCGCTACCTCGACCACCTTTCCAAGAGCTGAACAACAAGATTGGAGTCAAGGAACTGCCTCCATCTTGAGGGGGTGTGTAAAGGAGAAGAGTAGATTAAGGACTAATGTGTAATTAGTTATAAGTAATCCCTAAGGTTGTACCTCTATATATTGTAAATCATTCTACTAATGAAATCAATTCTGCAACACTTGACGGCGAAAAGGTTTCTGAATTCTTTTCAGGCTGCCATGTGTTGAATGCACCGTGGAAATATTATACTGCAAAGAGCGTCCTGTCAGCTATATATATATTGAGTCATTTCTGAAAGTAGCAATTGGTATCTTCAAGATCGAGTGTTTCTGACTGTTGTCAATCAATCTGATTTGGTTAATCTTTTTTCTTTGATCAAAGATTTGGTTAATCTTACTTGATCATTTTTGACACTATATTTTCTTTGTTACATTACAAAAACCTTGTTGTTACTTGTACATATATACATGTTCGTGAGCCAGAAGGTGATATTTGAATTTGAGATATTATGGTGGTCTAAAAGGTATTCTAGAATAATTATAATCAATAAATTAAAAGATAATAGAAATAGATATTCCAAATATCTCGCTGCATCACGAATCAAGGAAAATCGACGCCGGCCAAGTAGGTGCTCCAACTACGCCGTTTCATAAGAAAAACAAAATTAATAATGACATGGAAAAAATAAAAATAATAATAACTGGGAAAATGAAAAGAAGCGTTAGTTTACGAAAGGGAAAATTCCCAAAAAAAACCCAAAATAATTTTTATTTGGACGTTTAATACCCAATTCTTTTTTATTGTAATAAAAATACCTCATCTAATTATTTGTGGTCTTAAAATATCTCGTATATAAATTATTGGTGGAATCGAGCCCGCAACATAACGGCCGTTACGAAATGATTGAACAAGCGTTAAATTTAATTCTACATATTTTAATCGATATATATAATATATAAACATCAGTTACAGGATATCTTATCGTGGTCCAGTGGTACCAGCCCGAATTAATTTTACCCATGAACCTCGTTTCAAATCCCGCGATTAGTTTTTTTTTTCCTTTTTTATTTTTCTCCGGCGGATCTCAGATCCTCCATTCCCGACAGTGGCGGCGCAAAATCATCTCCACCTCCAACGCCTCCTGCTTCCCCTCCACCTTCTGTAACTCCACATCCTCCGCCACAATCCACCGTAACTCTTTCCACAAAGTCTTCCCTTTCAATCTCCAAAAATCGCAAATCTAAATCACTAGAAGTTTCTGGGTTTCACTCCAAGTTCGATTCATGGGTCTTAGCTTATCAACGAACCCCCGGATAAAGAGAAAAATATATAATCGCCAGCGATTTTTTATTTATTGATGTGAGAACTGCCAGAGAAGAAGAAGAAAAGGAAAAAAAAAACA